GTCTTTTTTCATTTCTAGGTGGAAATAAAATAAAAAAGATTATTTTGTATCACTACTATTTTTCAATATTTGAGGCAGTACTTTTCTTACAATTGTGGGATGTCAGATGAAAATCGAAACCATCATCTCAGAAAAACACAAGAGCATTTTATTTATGCTCTGTTACACTTCATTCCTCTTCACAGATTTCAATATTTTTGCAAATGTATCTCTATGTTTGATGACTAAGCTATTAAGTTACTCATAACAATTCACAGTGAGTCAGCATATGTGATTTCCAACCTGTTCTATATTTTATAACTTGGAATCAAGATTTAAGCTCACCCAGGACATAAAGTGGAATAACAGCAGATTGAATTGTACTGCTCTTTTCTGAGATGTTAAATCTATTTGGTTGTTGATACACAAGTAAGATGATTCCTCCTGAACACAACCAGCATTTACCACCAGAACCCCCTTTATACTGTTGCTACCCCATCTTTCAGTTATTTCTAGCTATTCTCACATCAGAAACCTGGCAGCAGAATTCTAGGGTAGAAATCCAGCTTTACAATTAAGTGAAAGAAAAAGAAATGTTCAGACCAGTATCTTGTTTTATCCTTGCAAAAAGTGGGAATATTTCCAATTTTCAGGATCCTTTCACAAGTTGAAGGGAAGAGAGCAGCAGAAACGTAGCAGTGCCAAATTACAAAGAACTGGCTGTACAGGCGATCCCATCCTTCATTCCCTCTCTGCAGCTGAGAGGTTGTGCCATCTGCCCTTTCAGCCTACTGACTGCTGTGTCACTCATGAAGATGCACATTTGGACTCCTCTTTTGTCAGAGAGGGTGCAAAGCAGCTCCTATATATAGGAGAAAATGTTCTCTAGGGGAAAATGTGCTAATCTCCAATATTTGTGTCATTCCAGGATCAAAAGCAGCCCGTTTTTTTGGGGGTTTTTTTGGGGTTTTTTTTGGTGGTTTTTTTTTGTTTTTTGTTTTTTGGTTTTTTTTTTGGTTTTTTTTTTGGACTATGTGTTTTTTTTAATCTTCTTCCGAAAAAAAAGAAATGCAGAGCAACCTTTTTGCTGGGTCACTGAAGGATTGTGTGACCATGACTGCCATGGTAAATGGAGTAGTCCATCATGTCTTTAATGCAAACATAATCATTTTTATATTAAGCCAGTAAAGAGCATTGCCTTTGTGGCACTGCATCTGAATCCTACTTCATCCTCGGGCCTCTTCTATGACCTCAAAAGCTCCCTGATAAGCCTTGGCCAAAGTAGCTGAGCAGTAAATCATCCCTTGACCATACTAGCTGGTCTGAGAGGCATTCCCTTACGTACCAGGATCTTGCATGCTAAAGATGTCAACAGTCAGAAGTATCAGTTGCCCAACCTAGGTGGGAAACAAAGGATAAGCATTTGTACCTTTGGTAAACCATTTTCCTGAATCATAGCGTGAATGGAGTGGCACTACTGGGAGTTGCAGTTTGAGAGGAACCCTTATCATTGTCACTGCACTTTGGGAAAAAAAGTGCAGTAGTTATTAACTTGGGCTATGGCCAGGATGGAAACTTACTGATGACCAGAGCTAATCATCTTGCAACCCTATAAACGGGAGAGAGGCTTTTTGAGCTTTTCTGGACTGCAGTGGGCTGAATGAGCACCTCTCTCTGAGTAGGATATCTCTTAGAGTTCACAAACCCTCAAGTTTGCAGCATTCAAAAAACTGTCTCTGATAATGAGCCCTGGGCTGATACCCCTGCCACATCTTCATGCTCCTTGAGCTGCAATCCGTTGCCTGTTGGGAAATGCACAGGACTTTGGTATGAGTATTTAATTGAACCTGAGGGGGAATTTTTAATGAGTACCTTTGCACACAAAAAAAATAGGTATACATATTACTTTAACTTGTGTGAGTATGATTGGGTTATGATTTGAGTGTTACTATCTCAAATCTGTAGTTAAGTCATTGTTATAATTGTAGTGAACCCTATCAAATTGCTTCATAAATGTTACTCAATAATTAAGTGGTGCTAAATCCTTTTGCACCCTTATATTTACATCTATATTCTTTTCACCCTTATCCCCTTTTGCATTCTAAGCTTCCATGCAAATCATTCCAAATTGCTGCTTTTCTGATCATCCTTTTTATGCTTTGATCTGGGTAGTACATAATCAAGTGAACCTTTCCATCAAGCTCTGTAAAGTCACATTTTCACAAATTTGTGTGAAACCCTGTTTCACCAATACTTTCTACAATGTTTCTTTAAGCAGCCAAACCACTCATTCATGACAGGCTTGAATGGATTGGCATGGAATGGCAGCAATGCATTTACTGGAGTACACAAGGCACTGCCAGCATATAAGACTCCTCTAAAATAGCATTTTAGAGGAGTCAGGTTTTGTAGTTATACCTGACCAACCAAGTTGAATCCTTTTCATTGCAGTAAACACTGATTAAAAGCCTGACCTTGTATTAAGAAAATAAGGATATTTCAAAGGGCTCTATTTGTGCTGCATGTTGAATATTAAAAAAGTTGCTGAAAGAACTGTGAGGGGGAGGGCAATTGGGTCGGGCTTTGAAATGGTATGTACTATACTCGATGGTTGTCAAAGGGATACCTTAGTAAGCTTTTGTTGCAATAAGCCTTATGTGTGGCCGAGTCCAAGATTCTTATTTATTTGCTTTCTTTGGATACCCTCTCCACTGCAGATACTTGCTAAGAGGGATACCATCTCACATACCTCCAGCTGGTAGAGGGGAATGGACCCTCAGTGCTGCATTTTGGTACTCTAGATAGCAATTAAATGGGCACTTTGCATCTGCTCTGCTTGTTTGTAAATAACTGAATTTAAAGTAAGAGATGTTCAGAGTAAGGGTGATGTCTGCATTGCATGTTAAGTCCAAGAAATGTGTTTTCATTAACGAACAAAGAGCCTTTAGATGAGATGCTCTAAAGAAAGCTCCTTTTATAAAATGGAGTGTGCTAGAAAGTGTATGTCACTGCCACTATCAGCTAATAGAGGTTATGCACTGATGGAAGGAACAAGGGAGCTGGCAGAAGTCTGTCTCGTGCTGTCAGTTCCAGGCTGCAGGCTTTTATGTTCATTTGTATTGCAATCAATAAGAAATAGCTTAAATTGGGCTCTGGAAGCTTGAGTTTATAATTTGCTAAATTTCTGTTTTAAATTTGTTTAAAATAAAAGACAAGTTTCTATGGAAACCTTCCTTTTATTCAAGGAAAATATCTCCCAGTCTTCGTCTCCTCCTCTCACAACCAGGGCTGGCTGGATCTGTGCCAAGATCCAGCTGCGCTCTCCCAAAGCTGTCACTCCAGCTCAGCGCTGGCCAGTGGGGCAAACAGCTGCTGCCACACTCTTTGTGCAGTTAATGCTGCCTCTTCCTTCACCTGTAGTGATGTTCCCTATTCATGCTCTTCCAGCTCCCAAAACAGTTGGCAGCAGAAGACATTCCCCAGCCTGGGAAGCCCTGGCAGCAGTGGCAGCGTGTGCTGGATGTATCCTCACCATCCTGCAGCACTGCCCAGAGCAATGGCAGCCAGGCAAAGTGTGCAGAAGCTCTGTGGTTCTTGGAAGTGAGAAATGCTGGCCACCTTGGTCTTCCTAGGAGACTAAGTGGCTTCCAGGGCTCAAAGTTGTTTGTTCTGATAAAGTTTTGTATGTGGAAAAAAACCTCCAGCTCCCTGAGATGATCTCTGATTCTGAGTTACAAAGTCTCAAAGAATTAAGATTATGGAATTGCTTAGATTTAAGATATTTTTACCCATTATTGTTACTGATTATTCATCAGCTGATGGATATTTTTTCCCGAACACAAAGAGCTTTAGACAGTTATTCTGCTTGGAGTTCCTAAGTCTCCTTTCCAAAGGGCTTTTTTAAGCCCTCTCCTCTCTCAGTTTGTGATATTCTGATTTTTTTTTTTTTTTTTTTTTTTTTTTTTTTTTTTTGCCTATTGATGCAAGATTTTCCCTCAGCTTCCACTTCCGTTACTCGGCCTCTGACCAATCTTTCACAGCATGACCCAGCCTAGGATCTGGGTTTGAAATGCCTGATAGAAATTAGACTTTAACTTTTTTTTTAAATTAATCTTAGAACTCCCTGTAACTACTTTACTCATCATCATCACCCATCATTCATTCAGTCTGAGCTGTAGCAGTACATATGAGAGAAAAAAGAACCTATAAAATCTGTTCAGAAAGGATCTATACCAATTTTTTTTTCTCAAAATACAGTAGTACATTTGTAGAAAGACAAGATAACAATCAGATGTAAGTCTAGCTTCTTATAATTTTGATAAAAATTCCTTAAAGATAACAAGTTTTATAAATTCATACATTATTTTGTATCTGTGCTGCATTCTGTAGAATTAATTTTCAGTACAGCACTTCATTAGATGAGCTATTGAATAAAGAAAATAATTCAGCTTTGCACCCCTTTATTTTTAAAGTCAGGAGTAAGATGTGATAGACTACAGGCAGGTATACATTTTTTTTTAATAAAAATGGAAACTTAAAATTAAGGCAAACTTTCCTCAGCTGGAATAAATTAATATAAAAGAGATCCCAATTATGAAAATACATGCATTAATATCTTGGTATTTTTCTAGACTTTATTCCCCTAGTAAAAACCTAGACATGATAGCTCAATAGAATACATCCTTTACCTACCCTGGCTGGTTATTCCTCACCTCTTAGGGGAATGTTGTCAAGAGAAAAGCTCCCATGCGTGTTCCTTATGCAGTGCTGTGCAAGTCAGCAGTCTTAATTTAACAAAATAGAAGAATTTCTTTACGTGTGGAAAGGATTTTTTTTTAATTTCAGTTTTAGCTTTTTTATGTAATAATGCTTGAATCAAAAATCTCAGGAAACCATTTGACTGCTTTAGGGCTTTAGGAATTTCTTCTCAATCCCTCAGATGACTAGGTAATTCTGCATTTTTACTGATACTAACTGTAACTTAGCTAGCCTAAGGGTGATATAAAACAGGACTCTTCAACTTCTTTGACAACTATAGCCAGATTTTATTACAGTGTGTTGCTCATGGACCAGAGAACAAACAAACTTTATAACATGATGAATCACCTGAGGAATAGATCAATCTGCATGCCAGGAGTTGGGCAGCAGCAGTGTAATGCAGGAATGGCTCCATTATATTGCAGATACCATGTGTATAAGAACTGGAAGTTGATGCATTTATTTATGGTGTTAGCAAAAGATGTAGTAGCTCTTTCTGCATAAACACAAACAAAATTAAGCAAACAAGTGTCAAACATTAAATCATTATTTCTAGCACATAGTCTGTTATTTTGACTGTATTATTCATGTAAGATGGTCTTATGGCTTTCTGATTAAAGCTGCCAGAAATTATTTAACCTCACTGTCATCAAGAGTCATTCAAATGGTGGCATTTTTAATTAAAAAGCATTCTATTTTTTTCAGTAAGAGAAAAAAAAATCACATTAGATAATGGTCAGAAGCAAAAAAGAAATTGTTCTGCTTGTCAGTCTCACATCGCTCCTATGCTTAATTAGTTCTTGTTGTTTGGAGTCCCTAGGTGCAAAATGAAAACAATCCATTTCCTAGCAAAGATATAACACTGGGATTTGCCATGATAAGGAAATTACTTGAGAATACATATATGATGTTACAGAGAACTCCTTATCACCCGAACACAAGAAATTTCAGAATGCTCTTTATCTCATTCAAATGTCCTTATGGCTTTCTGTTCACTCGAAACAATAGAAATGCATGAAGACTCCATGGAATACCATAGCACAGGACTTGTGCTAACTCCTCTGTTCCCCATATATAGTAGCACTTTTTCTTTCATCCCCCATATCACTGAGAGAATAAAATCGAGATGAGAATGGAAACTTCTTTGAATCTCTTTTACCTACAGTACATGTCAAAAGAAAGACTAAAGCATCTGTGTGTAGGAGAAAATGTGCAAAATTTAGGCTCTGTTTCCTTGGCTTTTGCCTTCAGCCCCTGCTTGGGGTTTTCTGGCTGCCATTCCTCTGTTGGTACAGAAATGAAGAGTTCAACTTCTACATGCAAAATATTGCAAGTGGATTTGGATACTGTACAGGGCTTAATGGACTTGGGGTTGAACAGTGTTGGTCACATGAAAAGAAAATGCATTTCCTTCATATCCACTGAAAAGCCTTCACTTTGCTCTCATTTGTCTTTTTCTTAAGAAGGCAAGTTATGAGTGAACACAGAGGAATGACAATATGTAGTTCCTATTGCAGGAAAAGGCCTGAAGATGGACACTTCTCTGTTTCAGCTACTCTTTTCTCAATTTCCTCTTCAGGCTTTTTTCAGACTATGTCTTCTTAGGAGGTTTTTACTTTACCATGACCAATTCCCACAGGTTTCCCTGCCTTAAGAATCCATCAGCTTTTCCTACCTTATTCAACTGGCATCCTCCCAGCACCTGACTCACCTATTGGACCTTCAGAATAATTTCTGTGCTGCCCTTCTAGCCTTTGCAAATTGCTGCCTCTGTTTGATTAGACAACACTTGTTAGAGGAAATATCATCTCTCAGCTGCAGTCCCATTGTAAGGGCGTTTTACAAAAGAGATGTCTTTTTATGTGAGTACGGTTAATGGATAATGGCCCATTATCAAGAAACTGTGACTTTGCTCATAGGTTTTCTTTCAGCAGTGGAAGCCTTTACTGTTGTTAGAACACAAATTTCTGGAACATTTACACAGAAGCAATTAAGGCCATATTCAGATAGGCTATTATTCTACCTAATGGGTACATAATAGGAACTTAATAGATATTTAGGCACCTATTATGCTTACGGTTCAAAAAGAGCAAAATTATCAGGCTCTTTTCCGAGGCCAAACAGGAATTGTCATGAGCATGGCTAACAGACATGCACTATATTATGGGTTCAAATTCATTGTTCTGGGCAAAAGCACAGAGCACTTCTGAGCTTCCTCTGAAGGTGCTTTTCTTTTCAAAGCAGAGCTCTAGGAATTTGTGCAGCATCATAGATTTGGTGCTTGTATGAAAGGACCTGATGCAAGGATCAGGTGACTTTAAGTGTCACAATCTTCCTTGAGTACAGGCTCTTTAGTTTAAAAAGAGATTATTTTTTCTTCCATTTAAACTATAAAATACATTTTGGAAGGTATTGAAACACCTTTTTTTTCCATTTAAATACTTTTTATCATTTAAAATATGAAAAGAAAAATGTAAAAGATTTCAATGTAGAGTTGCAAAAACTTTTAGTGTAACATTTTTTCTGTAATATGCAAAATAGGCCACAAGCAGTAACTGCTCTGATAGCTTGTAGAAACTAAGCATTTTTGGTTGCAGAAATTGCAAACTTGTTGCAGAAGTATATTAATAGATGTATTATTATATTCCAAATCCATTCATGCCTAAACATCTATAAAACTTGAATAGATTTTACCTCTGAAAGAGCATATGGGGCTCTTCACTCCCTCTTATCCTCCCAACTTTTCTGGTCGTGCAGATTTAAAGTAGCTGCCAGGAATCAGGCTGCTATTCAGCGAGCTAAGAGAAGCCACTACAATGGAGAGAAATAAACTAGAGGCCCTTGGCAGTGGTCAAACAGCTCGAAGGAAGCATTTTGATCTGCAAAAAGAACGCCAAACCAACCAATGCAAAACAAACCCATCAAGGCCCTTTTGGAAAACATACCAAGTTTAAATTTTTTAAATGTAACTTTAGCCCAATACACAAAAGGTAGTGACCCATCTATTGTAAATGTAGTTACCACAACCATCAACAGCCATTAACCACCATCAACTCCAAACATCTCCCCTGGCATGGTCAGAGACACCTGGGAAAGGAGACATAAGAGAACCAAGAATGAGAACCTAATTAATATCAAAAATGAAGACATCGATAAATAATAGGAAACCAAATACTAAGAACTGCACAATTTGAGACCAGCAAACATTGAACCAATGAATTTCTATGGGTTTTGACTGTATAAGTATCTGAAAAATGTAGTAAGGTCATGTGTCATGGAATGATTTTCTCTGCAAACCTGGGTGATGTGTGGATGAAATGATTTCTGTTGCACATCCTGGCCAGAATAAAGTAATGCCTTGATTCTCTAGCACAAAAAATGTTGTTGAAGGGTTTTTGTTTTTCCTGCAGTTTCAGAGACAGCCCAGAAGTACAAAGAAAGTCTTTTAAACATGCAAAGTCAACACAAAGAATAAATCCAGAAGCTTTGCAAGAAGATAAATATCCCCTTCTCCTCACCTTCTCATATAAATTATAATCAAGCTCAGTCAGCCACTTTAAGTTTACAGGTGGAAATCCAGACTCTCCTCTCTCCGTACTTCCCCCATCTGTTTTTTTCTGATGCCTCCTAGTAGCAATGCCTACTTTCTTACTCTGCCTTTGCTGGAATCAGGAAACAACCATGAGTATTTCTCTTGGAAAAAGCATTGAATTTATCCCAGATGTGGGATCATTCACATTATGGAAAGAATGGAAGCAATCTTTTGCTTAAGCTGTCATTAAAACAACGTCTGTGTAGTTTTTGAACACATCATCCTTACATAAAATGACAGTTCTGATAATAAAACATTTAAACCTGGCTCTCAGAGGATCTCTAATTCTTACTGTGCAACCCACAGAAGTTCTTTAGACATTTCAAATATTCTGTTAAGGCTCCATAGAACTGTTTTTACTGTCTGTTGGTTATAAAACACTACACCATCATTTCCTGATGCAAGCTGAATGCCAGCAGCAGAATGTATGGTTTTAAACCCTAAGATGAAGAAGAAAGTCTGAGTTTCTAATGCTCTGCTAATAACCTTGCTTTGGCAGCTTGCAAACCAAATGCTGCAAGGTAAGACAGCACAAAATCAGATCAAAACAATTCCAACAACCCAAATGCAAAGCAGGACTAACATACAATTCCAGGATTCCTTCTGGTTTTCCTTCAGGCCTCCTCTTCCCAGAAATGGGGTGCACAAAACCTCGGACATCAGAGGAGTACCTCTCCCCAGTGTAGCCCTGGAAGCCACAGCTGTTGGCAGCTGCTCACACTGCCTAGTGGTGCCAGGACACAGAGTTAGGAAAACTGATTTTCAAAGCTGAAAAATTAATGGCTTTTAAGCCATACATGATTGCAGTGAGGAAAGCAAATCTCATAAACTTCCGGATTTGACAACATTTTTCCTTCTTCAGTTCCTCAAAAAAAAGTATCTGCTGTGACCAAAAGATTGAATGTCACTAGCCTCAAAAACCTGCTGAGCTGACTCAGAGAGAAGTCAAGAGCTTAAAAAGCAGTCGTCTTTAGCATAATCTTTCTATGGCATTCCTAATGGACCCAAAATTGCAATGGTCAAAATAATCACATATTTGGATGTTAATAAAAGATGCGTTAAGAGGTCTTTCAGTGGCAATCCTATTAAATTGTCTCAATTTGCATGGTCTTAAACTCTGTTCATCTACATGTAGTGAGTACATTGCAGTCTCAACTAAATATGCTAAAATCATTAGATCAAACATCTTTCATTTAATACCAATCATTTACCCAGGATTATGCAAATAAATAAATAAATAGAAATTTAATCCTACCAAATCACCCTGCCTTATTGTCTTAGCAGAAACTTCAGAATGTTTGTCTCACTGGTTACTGAAAAAATTGCTGTTCATAAAGATAGAATTGTGTAGGCACACAGGTCTCGTTATCTATATCTGTATGCTTGTTGATGAAATGCTTTGAAGTACAAGCTGATATCTGAGGGTCTGAAGCATAGAAAAGAAGGCAATGCATGAGTTAAAAATGTACTTGACAAATATGTGGAGAAAATCAAAAGATAAATACAAAGGCCTGTGTTTAGGAAACCCAGAGCCTACAATGCTTAGAGTCTAGGGAGGTATCACTACATGCTACTCCTGATCTTTTGGGGTTTTTCTCCATGTCTTTGTAAACTAGAGGTATAAGAAGGAACAGCTAGAAGAATAAAATGTTAATGACAATAAAATGCTAAGACTACTTAGCACTACACATTATCCTGCACTTTGCTTATCAAAATTTCCCTTAAAATTGCAAGTAAACAATCAAGAAAGGTACCTTTTTTACTAAAAAAATGATGTAAAAGACGGTCTAAGGAAAAAAAAAAGAATTTTCATAAAAATTAAAGCCTAGAAGAAGAAAAATAAGAAATAGCAGAGAAACTTAAATCCATTAATGCAAATTTATTTTTCTAAATGTAGGCCCTTGGCAATAAAGGCGAAAAAAGATTTTAAGGAACAAGTTATTAGTTGTATAAAAATGAAAACCCCCAGTTTTATTCAAAATTCAAAATTTATTTATTCAAAACATATCAAAATTAGGAATCCAATCAGAAATAAAGTTTAATAGAAAATGGAAATATACTGACTGGTTTTGTGAAAGACAAGGCCATAGCATAATATTTAAATTAATTTTTTCCCTATTATAAAAATGAGGAGGAGGAGGGAGCAACTGTCTCATATTGAAGTGTCAGATGTCAGAACAGTTCAATAGAATACCTTGCAGCAAGACATCAATGCAATTTCTTAACTAGAAGAACTAAGGAAAGCCAAATATCAAATTGCTGAAATACTGACTATGGCAACCAATCTGTCAGTCAAATTAGCTTTTCCGAAGGGCAGCAAGAGGTATCCAGATATTTCTAGATGCTTGATTTCAAAACTGAGACTATAAATAAATGCTGTGAGAAAGATAGGCTTATTAGATAGTGAAGTAGCCATAATACTTTGGAAAAGGTCAATGTACTTTATGTAAAGGAAATGTAATTTGCAACATAATTTTTGCTTCTCAAATCTGCTGGGGTCCCTTGACAGAGTCAGTGGTGTGAGTAAAAGATATGTTTAGAATAGTGAGTTAAAATCTACAGCTGACTGTGAAGACCTGCAGGAATATCTTGTGATATTAGCTCTGAAATGGGAATGAAATGGCAGATAAAATTCAATGCCAATGAGTGCAAAATAATGCATTTGGTGGGAGAAATACAATAACCCTACTGTAGATGCACAATAATGAGCTCTGAAAGATCTTGTAGTCATTATAAGTAGATTTTTGAAAGCATCAGCTGAATGTTCAGAGGCAGTTAAAGTGGTAAATAGAATTTAGGAAGTATTATGAAAGTAATAAAAACCAGAAATTGTCGTTATGACAATATGTCTGGTGAATCTGCATCTTTTGGGTGTAATTCTGATCGTCCTTGTTAAAAAAAAAGCATCAGAAGTAGGGCAGTTTGAGGGTAGAAGATAAATAAAATCAGAAATATGAAGATTAAAAGTACTCTTCATTTTGGAAACAAGATGGCTGATAGGAGGAATGTATAAAAGATGATACAAATACTTTAATCAAGTAACATTTACCTTGTAGCAAAATTGTTCTGGAACGAGCTTAAAAGAAATCACAGAGAAGGTGTTATTATAAAATACCATATAGTCACAGTTTTCATGGAATGATAAAGTTCAATAATAGGGCTGGAAGAAGAATTGGGAAAGTAATGTATGATTTTTCTCAAATATCAGTAGGAGGAAATATCCAGAGAATAATCTCAAGATCAGTTGGTAACTGTTGGTTACCAACAACTCAGTGGTTGTACCAAGGGAGGTGCAACTTTTTTGTACTTACGCTCCTTTTAACCTTTTACTTGAATCATCCATTCTACTGCACTGCTGAGACCTGGTGAGATTTGCTGGGTTTGATACAAGAGAGATTCTTGCCAGCATTTGCATTCTTTTTACTGACCTTTGTCCAAAACCATAAAACCAAACCTCTTTGGTCAGTTCACCCCTGTAAATAAATGGTACTCATTCTATCAAAGATGTGTCAATAGACAGGAAATTTCAAAAGGCATGTAATAATTAACCCCAAAACTTCTGCCTGCCTTAAAATTTCAGAATCATTGATACCTTTTCTAGAACTAGTCAGAAGACTCTGAGTTGTAAGTTTTCGTACTGCACAAAGCATCCAGTTTGGACTACTTATTTAAAAAAAAAAAATTTAATGCAGAAAGCTTTGAAATTCTTTTAAGTAGGGCTTTTGTGAAGGATCTGAAAGAGAATCTGTTTTGATAGATAATTTACTGATCACATTATCTAAAGCCTGTCCTATTCTTCACTGAGTTTTGTCTTAAATATGCAAAGAAATAAGCCATTTAAAATGCACACCCTGTATTTCTCCTATTGAACTTTCTAATTAAATAAGAATATATTGAAATAACATTAATTTAACTAACCTAGTAAGATTTCATTCACAAAAAAAAAATTAGAGGTTGGAGAGCAACATTCATGTTAATGAAAGGAAGAATCTTTTGTATATGTTTGGGTTTTCTTTCTTTTGTCTAGTATCAGATTGAGTAACTAAATGGCTGTAACACCTTGCCTCAGAAATAGCTATATTTAGGTGATGAGCAGAGAATTTTTTAGTTGCATTATACCTTCCAAAGCACAGATGTATGCCCACACACTGGAAGAAAGGGTGGTTCTTATGAAATCTGTTCTTGTTATCTCCATGTTTAAATTGTCAATAATTTCAAGTAAACATAAAAATATGGCAAACGCAACTTTAAGGTTCCACACAAAAATTAGGGAGTAATAAATTTCATTGATACTGAAAAGGAATTGCAGAAAGTAACTGAGCCATTTGCTCTCAGGGTACAAGGAAACAAAATGTATTTTAATCCTACCAAGGATGTGGTTGCATATCAGGGACAGAGGAGCAAAACAGTTCTTTGCTGACCAGTGACTGTAACCTATGAAAGAAAAAAAAGAAAAAGTTTTGGAATATAGCAAGAAGGAGGTAGTGACAAGATTTCCTACATTTTCTTTCATATAAATTAACGATTTATGCTTATACTCCCTACAAAGGTCAGTGTGATTTTTGATTATAGAAATAAGGGAGTTTCCAAACTAGAGACACTTTTATGCTACTGTAGTATTTATTGGAAAAATTCATAGTATGTTTAAGTAACATCTTTAATAGTAAACAAAGGCCCATATTTTTTAATCTTTGTGGAAATAATTATTGAGATTGGATGATGTAGAATTGTGCAGTCTCAGCCAGAACCAAATTATGGACAGGAATGATTGTTTCTTTAGGTAAATTCATACTTTACATATATGTATATATGTCATAATTTATAGAGATACTATTCAAAGAAGCTTTCTCAGCAAGTTAGGTTGACACGGATATTTATACAAAATTTTAAAAGTACATTATCTCCTATTGTTTTTATTATATGTATTTCCTTTTTAGACTGTTTTTAGTGATAAAATATTTTAGTGTTTTGAAGTGATAAAATTCTACTGAAACAAAAATACATGTATTTCTGGGAACAAGAATATTGAAAAAGTAAATTTATGCTAAAAGTAATTTATGCTAAAAAAAGGATGGGTCAGAAATTACTCATTACTTTGATAACATAAAAAAAATTTTCCTTAATTTCCAATTTTTTGCTATTGAACTTCCTTACAAATGTCTATATATTTTGTCTTCTCAGCATCAGGCATCACTAAAACCTAATAATATTGATGAAATAAATGCTCTGCTGCAAACTTTCCTCTGAGGTATTCTCATCAGTGACAGATGTTGATTGAGAAGTGCACTATCCCAGGAGTATCACATAGCCATGTTTCCTTTATTTTGCTTTTTGCTTGAGCTCTGCTGCTCTTCAAACCAGCTTTCTTACCTTACCTGTAAAGATTTCAATTTTATCTGGAACAAAAGTAGCATTTCAACCAGTTTGACTAGAGTCTTCTAAACTACCCTCATCTCCTCATTGGCTTTGGATAAGGAAAGCTCCCAGATACGAAATCTCCAATTGTGTGAAAAAAATAAAATCCTTAATTTACTGGTGTCACTTTAGATTCCCAAACCTATAAATGACGATATAATATAAAATGTCTGAATTTAGCAACTGTATATCATAAATCACAGCTACTTAAACTATACCTAATCGGTGTGTTTGAGGCTTTATTTGTTGAAGCTGAGAGCTGGTTCTGCCGAGCTACATAAAATAAGACAATAAAGATATTCATAGAATAATCATCTGTAGTGCAGGAAAAAACTGTTCATTACCATTTTTATGTATATGTTCACAGTCACAAGCTCAGCTGGTACTAAATGAAATATGTTCTCGGTTTGATAAAATGGGAGAGTTGAAAAAAAGGTAAAAACATGTAATCTCCAATTTGTATTACCACATGCTATTTGCCAAAATCAAATCATGTGCACTTTTGCTTGCTGCTGTCCACCAAGGCAACAATGCTGAGTCAGAATCAGTAGAATCTTTCTGATGTTATTGTGTTTTAGGTCTCTGGAAAAGCTGATCTACCAGCAGCTGAGGTCTATATGCTGATCTATATACGGCCTAATAGTTGTTCTGTTCTCATTTATTCCCCTGTGCCCATTACATTGCTCCCACTAATTAAAATGAAATTCTGGAATAAATAACACATCAGAAGACTAAAGGACTTTCTATGTCTAGATATTAATCATATTTTACTCATTATCCTGAATATGTTTTAAAAACCAAATCAAATTCTAAGCAAAAACCAAGATCTCATTCTGAGACCTTCAATGTTTACTAATGTAATTTTAAAGCTATAAGCATATGAAAA